CTTATAAAATCATTCTATCCTCAACCATCCATAAACACAAAATTTCCAAAGTTAAAAAACATGAGTAAGAATGTTAGAGACCTTGGTGAGTCTTAAAGTGCATCAAATTCAAAGGTACGTATTTTGTTAAAAAAATTACAAATTCTTTTACTATTTTCCCAATGATCAATTACTTAGTTCTTTCTTTTTTGTGAGTAGCGTTCTCGAAAACTACCACAGAAACAAACATATGAGCAAATATATGAGGGATTATTTTCATATATAGATGATGGTCGAGAGCATGATGAGATGTGGGATATAATGGAAGAAGTAGGAATAATGCTAAGAGCTAATGCTTTGAATGTTAGAGACCACAACGGGCGGTGGAAGTGTCCCTATTGCAATGATACTCCTACGCAAAATTTGAAACATGAACGATCTCTTAACTCACGCGCATGATGTTGGTTGCAATAGGATTGTGCCTAACATGGGTAAGGAGATGATTGGCGAGCATCGTGGACTAGAAGTTTATTTACTTTGGTTAGATCAAAATTAATGATCTAAACAAATCATGTACAACTTTGGCAATTTCATGATATTTCCATGCACTAAGTTGGCTGAGCTATTGGTCCTTTATCAAAATTGATTACCTCAACTGAAACTTACAAGTTCAACGTAGATTACATTCTAATAAAAGTACTAAAGGACATCTTATCTTATTATAAGCATTGTAAATTAGTTTGCAATCTTATTTAGTTGACCATCATCATTGCAAAAAGCTCAGAGTGAGCTAAAAAAAGGAACCAAAACAGCACCAACAGCTCAAATCAGAGCTAATTTGATGAATATAGAGCTAAATATAAACAATCTAGAAATTAGCATAATAATAACAAAAACAGTACCAACAACTCAAATTGTTCTCAAAATAGAACCAAAAATATCGCAATATAGAGATAAACAAGCTCAAAATCATCCATGAACATATATAAACAGCACCAACAGCTCAAATTTGAGCTAATTTGAGGAATATAGAGCTAAACAAGCTCGAAATTAGCATAATAATAACAAAAACAGTACCAACAGCTCAAACTGAGCTCAAATTCAAACAAAAAAACTTCACAATATAGAGCTAAATAAGCTCAAAACCAGCCATGAACATGTATAAACAGAATCAACAGCTCAAATCAGAGCTAATTTGACAAATATAAAGCTAAACAATCTTGAAATCAGCATGATAATGACAAAAATAACACTAACAGCTCAAACTGAGCTCAAAACGAAACCAAAAATATCGCAATATAGAGCTAAAGAAACTCGAAATTAGCATAATAATAACAAAAACAACATCAATAGCTCAAACTGAGCTCAAATTCAAACCAAAACCTCACAATATATATAGAGTAAAACAAGCTCGAAATCAGCTTTGAGCGCTATTGAAGAAATTATAAGAAATTTGTTGAATATCATATCTCCATGATAGTGTTTTGATGATAACAATTTATATTGTGTGTGCACTAACTTTCATATGCAGATTTCAATATCAGAATATGTACAAGTGCAAATGGATATCAAGGCATTTTGAAGTGAAGAAAATAAAGAACAAAAGATAGTGTTGAATATCATATCTCCATGATAGTGTTTTGATGATAACAATTTATATTGTGTGTGCACTAACTTTCATATGCAGATTTCAATATCAGAATATGTACAAGTGCAAATGGATATCAAGGCATTTTGAAGTGAAGAAAATAACAAAAGATAATGTATTTGAATTTTTCTTTGCTTAGAATATTTGTACAAGCCTTGATCACACACACGCACACACACACATTTTTAGAACACACTAACACAGGCTTAGTGTGTTGGTTAACTATAGAAATCCCCTATGTTAACCATTAGAATAGTAGTTAAAACTTAATTATAAAAACTCATTATTTCTGAATATTTGATCTTAATAGTCGACTAATTAGGATAGTAGTCGACTACTCATGTATATAACTCAAATACAAGTTTCTGTCTGTTTACAGTATAGTCGACTAATTAACATTATAGTCGACTACTGAAGAAAATGTCATTTTTCAAGTTTCTGTCAAATTACAGTATAGTCGACTAATGATCATTATAGTCGACTACTGAGAACATTTTCCGAAAACACAGAGTCTGTCTGAACTCAGTGTAGTCGACTAATGACTACAGTAGTCGACTACAAGAGACAGTTTTTCAGTTTTTAGAATTTGAATATCTGACAGTTTTTTGGCCGTTTTTAAACGTTTTTAAACTTTAAAAACTTGTCTTTTCAAGGACTATATATAGGTTATTTGTTCAGAAAAATTCAAGATGCATACATACCCATAAGCTTTGATCTTTGTGTAATTTTTCAAGTGAAAAACATTCTAATTCTCTGAAAAAGAAGAGTTTCTGAAATTGCCTATATACTTTCATCAAAAACAAATCATTTGGCAATTTTTACAGAGATTAAAAGTATCTTAAGCCACTGCTGCACTTCAATACACATTCAAGGCTTAGGATCAATTGTGTTCTTGCTTCAACAAGGATTTCTCTCGGGTTTGAGAGGGTTGATCTCTTGGTTTAGAGATTGGTGTTTAAATTGGCAAGGTGTTTGTCAATTGGTGTTGCAATTTGCAGGGACTTGCAAATTGGTCAGGTTTGCGTTTGATTTTGTAAGTTTATTCAAAATCATAGTGGAAACTCTCAAGCGGGATTTGCTTGGGGACTGGATGTACACCGGATTGGTGGAACCAGTATAAAATCCTTGTGTTTGTGTTTGCAAATTTCTGAGATTGTTATTTTTCTTTGCAATTTATTATCTACTTTGCAATAATTTTAAAAGAACACTATTCACCCCCCCTCTAGTGTTCTAGTGTATCTATTTCAGATCCTACAACTTCTTCCCACGAAAACGCCTTGGCTTGGAAATCCTCTCGAATACCGAGATTCTCTTTGGGGTTTTAGAACAGCAGCATTCTGATAACACCGTCCTGATGATGTTGGCACACGGACAGTGGGGTTCCGTGTCTCGAGCATCTTTCTTCCGAGACTTATTCATACCCCCAGCTCTATAGTACAACTCATCAGTTTGATAACTGGAGCAACCCATAGAGTGTTGGCATGACTTCCCAGGTATAACACAATCATCATCAGACGAATGTGTTTCCCTCTGGGGATATGACGCTTTATTAGCGTTTTCAAGAGTCGCTCGTTCAAGTCTACGCTTTTGCGAGCATAAAAACTTAACGGGCTCTTGAACTTCGACACGCAATCCAATACGGTCGATGACAGGGGTTTTCCCTTTGTTATCTTTCTTGGGGGGGTTAACACGACCCCCAATCTGGTTCGTTATTTGGGGACTTTTCAACGGACCCAATCGCTCCTTGACAGGTGCTTTACCTCGGTTCCCGGGTAAAGGACCGAGGCGACCTTTCAAAGGAACCCTGGATCTTGAAGGATCCGTGTTCTTACCTGACTCCGCCAGAGGTGCGGGGGCAAGGGGAACGGGATCTGGATTTGATGAAGGTTGGACAACAACATCGTCCGCTCTTGTCTTAGGCGCTGGCTTTGCCTTTAGCACCCACACCTGCTTGAGTTTTGACGGATTCTTGACCGTCTCTTCTTTTTGCATCTCCTCTGCTTTCTGCAGAAGGGCTCGGGCATGCGCAAGCAATGCGCGGCGCTTCTTGATTCGCTCTTCGAGGGTTGAGCGAGTCCTCGTGACACGAACGAGGAGGAGTTGGTTATGTGCCGTTGTTGCTCTTGGCGCTGTCTGGACTTTAGATCTTCATTGTAGCGGATCCCGTCCATCGATTTTGCGGCCTTGGCCAATTGTCGTGCAAGGCGTTGGCGCCGTCTTTGGCGCGCCCTCTTCGACGGAGCTGGAGCAACTTCAGCGGTCGCCTTTGTGGCGGGAGGGAGATCTGGATTTGCAGCCTCGACCTCCTTGGATGCCGCCGGGATGTTACGGGGCACGGGCGCAGCAACGGCAACGGGATCTTGGATCTTAGAACCGGAGGTCCCGCGAGCATTTCTGGAAGATGAAGTCTTCCTACGCCTGTTTGGAGAGGCGGATCTGGAGGAGGAGGAGGAGAGGTACTCTTCAAACTTTTGCTGATCGAACTCGTATTCGATCTCTTCGTTCACCCGGATCTTGTATGCCGGTTGCGTCACGACGGCCTCGGCAGCGAGGCCGTTGGCTCCCACTGTGGTCGCCAGTTTGTTTTCTTTGAAAGTTGCCTTCATCATTGATTTCATTAGAACTTTAATCGTTTACAAATGAATTCAAATAACAAAAATAAAATTTACAACTTTCTTGAAAAATAAACACAAGATCCGTTTATCGTCTCTTGCTTGCGTGGGTCTTTGGCCTGTGACGGGGACGTCGATATCCATGGATGTTGAAGCGCTCGACCACTCTTCACTGCAGCAGGGCTTCGCCAACTCTCCAAAAATCCAGATCCTCCAAAAGTGAGGCCTAAGGCTCCTATTTATAGGCAAGAGGGGGTACAGGGCGTCGGGACACCCCTGGGGTGTCTAGGCAAAGCCGAGACACCCCTGGGGTGTCTCGGTTTGGCCGAGACACCCCTGGGGTGTCTAGGCTTTGCCTAGACACCCCTGGGGTGTTCCGACTTTCCCGAGACACCCCGGGTGTCCCAGTTCAGCCTGAGACGCTCCGTTGCGTATGTTTGATTGTTTTAGCCGTAAATTCTTCGTCCAAACTCGGATTTGAGTGATTCCAAGTGCGTTGGAAGCTTGACGAAGAGTTCGATCCGCTCCGATGGTTGGATTATCTGTAGAGTGATCGAGACGTGAAGGTCATTGTCCTTTTCGTGAACATCGCAGGGTTCCCGATTGGCCCGTGCCTTCGCTATTCCGAAATCCTATCAGCTCACGTAGTTCGTCGATTCACTTCAATCGTTCATCGACGTCAATCGAACTCCTGTGGATCGGATAGTGACGTTCATCGTCGCTCTTTAACACTGAACCGTTCGTGGAGACCTATAGGCAATTTTCGATGCCTACAGACCTTTTCTCAAAATGCCCAATTTTTATCATACAATTTATTTCAAAATTACTGCTTTCTATTTTAATTGGTCGTGCTCGCCTAAGTTTAGCAGTTATTATCATACGTGGCATGTCAATTGTTTAGGATGGTACACTGTGAATATTGTTCTGAATCTAACTTTAACCAATCTGCAAATTTCTTGCAGATTCATTGGCCATTCAGATTGAAGAAAGGGACCAGCCCAAGTGGAGAAAATGTGATACCATCAGACATCCGCAGCACTTGGGCCGCAATGGAGAAGCTGTACGATTCAGGCAAAGCCAAAGCCATTGGTGTGAGCAATTTCTCTTGCAAGAAATTGAAGGATCTGCTTGATATTGCTCGTGTTCCTCCAGCTGTTAATCAGGTCGAATGCCACCCCAGTTGGCAACAAAAGAAGCTCAGATCATTCTGTGACTCCAAGGGCATTCACATCAGTGTGAGTTCCTGAATCCAATCCAGGGTTAATTGCGGATAACCTCTTGCTTGCACTGCAGAAGATTAGCAACTTAGTACCCCCAAACTTTTTTATTAGAACACTTAAGATTCTCGGATGTCCGAACGGAGCCTATCTATCTGTTATTTGTTTTTGTACTATAGGAGGTGCGTGATATAACTTCATTTAGACATTGAAGGGTCTTAAGTACTAAAAGAATTTAGGGAGAATATGTGCGTGCACATTTGTACACAAATATCTAATGCATGATTTTGTTTCAGGCGTATCGTCCGTTAGGCCCTCGAGCATCAGAAGGGTTCAGCAACAATCTCCAATCACACCCAATTATCACCGAGATTGCTGAAAAACTAGGCAAAAGTCCCGCCCAGGTTATTCTGCGCTGGGGGATTCAAATGGGTCACAGCGTGCTACCTAAAAGCACAAATGAAGGCAGATTAAAGACAAATCTTGATATATTCGATTGGTCGATACCTGCAGACTTGTTTGTTAAGTTGGAAGATATTGAACAGGCAAAGCTAGTAACAGGCCAAATCTTTGTTAGTCCTGACGGGATCTGCAAGAGCGAGGAGGAGGTCTGGGATGGAGAAATATGAACGAAGTAACACCATCAACGTACTAAGTGTACTGAGTCTTTTCTATAAGTGGAGACTGCGTGTGGGGCGTTTTAAATAGAAAAATAAATGAAAAAAAGATCTAAGTATCACGTTTCAGTTTCCTAGTTCTCTCCAATTTGTTGATGTTCATCGTGCGTTATTGTAGACGTCAAAAATGCTTACAGACATCCAAATATCACTCAAGACAAAGAGAAGGTGATAAACATCAGTATCTAAGTCATGGGAGATCATACAAGCCCAAAGGAAGCAAAAGGATCTGTGAATCAACATAAAACAATGTGAATTCACAGAAAATGCAAACTACAGCGTGTGGGCGCGGCAGCTCATGGTGCCGCGGCTACAGCGCGGCAGCTCATAGTGCCGCGGCTAAGACGCGGCAGTTCATAGTGCCGCGGCTTGGGCGCGGCAATCCATGGTGCCGCGGCTACTATAGGGGATGCTACAGCGGTTACGAGGTAGTTATGTGATGATTATGTGAAGTCTACGTGGCGGCGTATCAGAAATAGAACGTGTGCTGACGTGTACAAGCAGTTAAACCACGAAAAAGGTGGTTAAAAGTCGTGGGAGGACAGTTTCAAGCACGATGGAACGTGCTGGTAACTGCCCCTGTGGCCGCTGCAGTTCATGCTGCCGCGCCAATAGCCGCTGCAGTCCGGGATGTCGCGGTCAAAGGGATAGCGCGCCAATAGCCGCTGCAGTCCGGGATATCGCGGTCAAAGGGATAGTCGTTGATCGGCTATTTCTTCAGTTATTGTCCAAGGAGGCTATAAATACCCCCCTATGGACATCATTGACGGGGGGCTGAGCATTTTCCAGAGAGATTAGAGCAGAGAGCCTTGAGTTTTGGTGAATTAGAGCAAGAGAGAGAGTCTTCCTTCTTCACAAACATCCTCAAGAAGCTTCTAGCGAGTCCTAGAGATCTAAGCTCAGACTTGATCTTTGGAAGAGTGAACATCTTACATCGATAAGATATTCGCTTCAAATTCTTACTTCGATAAACGAAGGAAGAATCATTAAACCCCTCACGGTTCAATCAGAATCTGTGATTTGGTGGTCCACGAGTCAAAGCGCTCCCGGCACAGGCAAAGATCCCACGCAAGCAGCGATCCAAACAACGGTCCTGCGTTTGTTTCTCAAGAGTTGTAATTTTCCTTTTGTTGTGTAAAAGAAGTCTTATAAAAAGACTATTTCTTTTGAATTTATTGTAATCGACCGAAGATATAATGAATTCCACAACGAAACCAACTTTTGACGCAAACAAGCTGGCGACCACAGTGGGAGCCAACGGTCTCGCTGCCGAGACCGTCGTGTCGCAGCCGATCAAGATTCCAGTTGAATCCATGGTCGAATACGAATTCGACCAGACCAAGTTTGAGGAATATCTCTCATCATCCTCTTCAAGATCTTCATTATCTCGCAAGTACAAGAGGATCTCACAATTGAGGAAGAGTTGCATGCCAAAGAAGGCACAAAATGAAGACTCTCGCTTGATTGTTGCTGAGAATTTCACTCGCAACACCTCTGCTCAAAATGGCTCTTATCTAATTGAAGAGTCATCGAATCAAAGCCCGACGACATTGACGAAAAGAGCTCGTCAGAGACAGCGTCAGCGTCTTGCTCGTCAAATAGCTAAGGCATTTGAACAAACCGACGGAGTTCGTTATTATGCGGACTTAGAGTCGAGGAAACAACAAGTGGTTCGTTCAACGCAACGACGAACTACTCACGTTTCTGCACAATTCACAACGGAGGAATGGACACTCATCAAAAGGGCTCGTTCGACCCTCCAAGAACGTATACAAAAACGTCGTGCAAACGTTGTTCATGCCCGTGCTCTCTTACAACAAAGACGAGAAAGGAGGAAGGAAACGGTGACCAAAGAATCACCAAAACTCCGCCAAGTTTGGATTCTGAAGTCTGGACTTATGCAAAATCAGCATTCGGAGCCCGTTAAGACTCCATACCCACAAGGGGGTGGTTCTAAACGTGCGACTCCCGACATAACCTTGGATCGCTTAAAGACAAAAATAAATTGTCCTGAGAATGCCAACAAGGTTTTATACTCCCAGAAGAAGACGCATTCACCAAATGATATCGTCATACCTGGGAGATCATACCAACAGACGATACGATTTTTTGGCAATCATACCGATGAATCGTATTATCAAGTTGAGGTTGTGAATAATTTTCGAAAGAGAGTTATTCGAGAGATAAACTCTCGTTGTTCCTGTGCACGACTCGTCAAAACAGCATTATCAGAATGTGACTGTTTCAAACGAGAAATCATCCCACGAAAAGTCTCTGCATTATCAAAGCCTAAGCTGAGACATTTCCGCAAAAGAAAATCAGCTGCCCAAAATGATGAATTCCCTGAAGTCACCATCAACGTAGCTGATAGAAGAAAGTCTAAACAGCATTCAAGTGACTCAAATCCCGACTTTTCCCCGAAAGGAAAAGTCAATCCAAGAATTGCTCAAAGGATGTCTCGACTCCAATTAGGAGCTATCAGACGCAGAGACTACAAGAGAATGCAAGAAGGAATGTCCTCGGAGGATGAATTCTCGGACACTTATTCTGCAATCGCTTCTGATGATACAATGTCTAGCACAGGACAAATCAGAGAAGTATTCACAATCACTGCTGATCAGTTCACTCAAATACTTCAGGAAGCTCTAGCCAAACAACGTGAAGAAATTAGAGCTGAAGTGAAGACAGAAATGAAGTTGGCTATCCAACAAATGAGAGAACTGTTAACTCAACAGCCTCAACCTCCTGAGTCCAATCAGCGACTTGAATCCAGCCACCACACTCGGAATGTTGTAGAGGACAGTGATCCAGAGGTGGATGAAGTCATTATGGCTGATACACCTCCCAATGACAATAACGCTGGGGGTGGTTTAACGGATCCTCCCAATAACGATATTGGGGGTGGTTCAATAGCACCTCTCACTGGGGGTGGTCCAATTATCTTTACTCGACATCATTCAGAAAGAAATGAAGACGATGACGGGAAAATGCAAAAACTTGAAGACAAAATCAATGCTTTGATGACGGCTCAAGAAGTTAAGAAGACGGGTATTCCATGTCCTTATCCGAGGGAATGGGATTCAATACCATACCCGACCAAATTCAATCTGATTAACTTCACACCGTTTGAAGGGAAGAGTTCGCCGATTCAACACTTGATTTATTTCAAGTCTCATTTGGGCATAATCTCTGGAAACGAGGCCTTAATGATCCGGTCATTCGTTGGCACCCTTCGTGGGCCCGCCTTCGATTGGTACCGACGGCTCAAGCCAGGGAGCATCAATTGCTGGGATGACATGGAAAGTTTGTTCCTCAGCAACTTCTTCGATGATGACACCGAAGTGTCAATCGGAACTCTTTTGGATGAGAAGCAAAAAGACGGAGAGTCAGTCGACAATTTTGTCAAGCGTTTCCGTAACATGGCGATGAATTGCAGAGATCCTATTACAGAGGAGTTCATCCTGCAAACATGCCACAATAACCTCTCCATCGATGTCCTGGAAGCTCTGGGGGTCGTGCCATCCACAACTTGGAAGGAGTTAAAATCTCGGGGTGAACAAGCTGAGCACTTTCTTAAAAGAAAGAAAGCTGAGAGAGGCCAACCAATGACATCTGCAATCATTGAGAATGCGACTCTCGATCCGAGGTTTCAAAAGGAATATTCTTTCGAAGATGATGAAGCTCCAGCCATCTTGGAATACCTCCTCGCTAATGACAAAATCGAGCTACCACCTATTAAAGATCAGGATGGTGCTAAAATGATTATGGATCCAAATTACTGTGCGTACCACAGAAGGGTTCTTCATCCCACTGAGATTTGCTTTGGACTCAAAAACAAGATCCAAGCCCTAATTGACTCCGGCGTCATAACGACGAAAGAAGTCGAGTAAAGACGACCATAAAACTCCATTGGGTACACGAGTATAAACTGTTTCCCCTCACTCCGAAAAGTATACGAGTATAAACTGCTCCTTAATACTCCAACAGGTATATGAGTCTAAACTATTTCCTTTCTTTCACGGGAAGTTCCTGAAGAATGCCATGCATGGTACTTTTAAGGATAACCCGATCATATAGCTAAACATAATGATAAACTCAGTTTCACAAGAAAAAGCTGGGGGTGGATGGTTCATGTAACGGAAGTTCCCGAAAGAATGCTATATGTAATTTTCTTAGGAATAACCCGATCATTACAAACAAAGTGTTAAACACTACATCCCCACGGTGATTTCCGAATATTCATTTGCTGAGATGAGATTCGATCACTTCGTTGGATCAATCTTCCCTCTCAAACCCTCCTTTGGTCAAACCTTTAAACAGTTAGGACCAAAGCCAAAATCCCCTCTCGATTCGTTCCATGAACGAGAGGTCCACAAATTGAACGATCAAACCTTTAAACAGTTAGGATCGTCTCAAATCCCCATCTTGGTCAAACCTTTAAACAGTTAGGACCAAAGCCAAAATCCCCTCTCGATTCGTTCCATGAACGAGAGGTCCACAAATTGAACGATCAAACCTTTAAACAGTTAGGATCGTCTCAAATTCCCATCTTGGTCAAACCTTTAAACAGTTAGGACCAAAGCCAAAATCCCCTCTCGATTCGTTCCATGAACGAGAGGTCCACAAATTGAACGATCAAACCTTTAAACAGTTAGGATCGTCTCAAAACTCCAACTTGGTCAAACCTTACTACAGTTAGGACCAAAACCAAAATCCCCTTTCGATTCCTTCCATGAACGAGAGGTCCAGCTTCGATTTGTGCAATCAAAACTATAAAAGTTAAGATTGCTTCCAATCTCAATTGATCAAACCTTATTCAGATTCTCTGAATAGAAATCCCAATTTAAATTTCCTTTGTACCAGGAGATAGAATATAAAATTCTTCCTCTCCGATTCCGGGTTCATCTCTACCAACAAACAAGAGACCAGGAGATAGAATATAAAATTCTTCCTCTCCATCATCGGGTTTATCTCTACCAACAAACAAGAGACCAGGAGATAGAATATAAAATTCTTCCTCTCCATCATCGGGTTCATCTCTACCAACAAACAAGAGACCAGGAGATAGAATAGAGGATGGATGGAATAGCGCTTTAACGACGATATCAAATGGAGGTTGGCGGAATTGTGGAGTGAAGCAACATGCAATTCATAGTTAAAGATCAAG